ATTTAATAATAGATAAACAACACAAATGGAAATTCTTGCAATTTCTATATTGAATAATTTAATTTAATTTGTATATTAATAAGCAAAAATAAATAATTGTTTATATGACTATGAAGACATATGCTTTAATTATTCACTACAGTAATACTGTTAAATTCTATTAACATAAATTATATATTCTATGTTCCAAAAAAGGAATAAATAGGCCTTTTATTTGCTATCAAATATGTAGAAAGAAACATTCTGATAGTAAACGAATTAGTTTGTTTCTTTAAAATGAACTGCATTTAAAATGGTAGTGACAACTTTGATATAAAAAAAAAAATATATTTATTATCATTTCTATTTAATTCTTTTCAAATTATTATTGATGAAATCTCCGCTATTTCTTTCGTAAGTAAAAAGCACAAGTGTATATAATTTATCGGTACAGTTTTATCAATAAATTTTGTAAGCAAAAACACAGAACAGTTGAATTCTTAATAAATGAGAAAGCTCTTTAGAAGATGAGAAACTGTAGCAATGTTAAATAATTTATATATTTTTTGTAAGTTTTCTGTACAATAAAGTGTTAAATTTGCTATTCTTAGACACTTCCATCAGTTACTTTAGTTCTGTACATGTTCAAATCAATTTACAAATATGAAATTTCATACTTTATTTAAGTGAAATGTCAAATAAATCAACAATCTAATTACAAAGTTAATAATTTACAACGACATTATCAAATACAGTCAAACCTCTGAACAAACGCCATCGACGAGAACGTAAAGCTGTCCGTTGTTCGGAGGTTATTTTGTATGCATTTTTGTTGAAAATAAAATAAATTTCTAAAAAGAAAAATAGCCGCTGTTTAGAGGTTCGACTGTAGTTTATTAAAGTTTTTTTTTTTTTAATAAAGGTCATTCCTATTTTACTGCTATATATAAAAATTATAAAACAAATCTGTTCAACCTTCGAAAAACAAAAATAAAGAACAATTTTTCCTGCTTTCAAGTGACAGATCTTCGATAAAATTATAAATAACTGGTTTTTAACTTTAATCAGCTATAAATGGTATATCCGTCCGTTATTTTCAAGTAAACTGCTCTCATATAAAAACACTTCAATATATCACTTAACTTATAAGATTAATTATTGTAAAATTTATACGAATTATCACAAAAAAAAATTAAATATTTCCATAGTTTTGAAATATCTTGTAATGTATTGAATATATATATTTCCTTCACTCTTCAGCATTATAGAAGCGCCCAAAATTCAGTTAACCGTATTCGAATATCTTGGTAGTCTTATTAATACTGGCATATCTTGTAATACAGAATGGTAAAATACGAAATGTAAATCAAAACACGTAGCAATGCGTTAGAATGCTGTAAATTATTCACTAAACTTGAAGCATCTCTAATAGAAACTGCCACAAAACTCTTTATTCCAATACGGTTAACTGAATTTTGGAAAACTTCTATAACGCTGAAGAATGAAGAAAATATATATTCAATATATTACAAGATGTAAATATTTCACGTTTCATACTATTGGAGTTAAGACAAGTAATTAAAGACAACAATTTCACCAAACTTCTTGGTCATATCATTTATTCAATGATGTCAACAATTCATGGGCATCAATGAATAATTTATCAACTCGAAATGATGTCATAGATTCCAAGATTTATTGCATGTATCTAAATTATGATATATTATACCAAAACGTGCGACAACTTTTTCATTTGGATTTCATGAGAAAATATTATACTAAAAGTACAGTACTCGTTTCACTGTTTATAACAGAGGGAAAGTATGGCTCTCGGTCAAAGGCTGACCCTCAAGATTTTAACATTTTTGGACTCGGGGAGCTTGAAACATCGAGAAATTTTTAAAAAATTGGAGGTTTTTTTTGTATGTATAGATAGTGTGAGGTACGATTTTTTCACCCACTTTAAAGCTTAATAATTCTTGTATCTTTTGTCGAAAATTTCTGAAATTTTTCAGGGAGGTTTGTGTATTAGGAAGAAATATTTCTAGAAATTTTCAGGAAAATTCGATCATTGGTTCGGGAGATATTGCCCCATCCCATTAATATCTTCGGAACCAATCTGTAGATTTAAAAGTAATGGTGGAAGTTATCAGGAATAAAAACAAGTAAAGAATGTTGGAAAAGTCAAGCAACAATGCTACTTTTTTCATATTTAATATCACAGAATTTATTAAAATCAATTTAAAAGTTAAATTCTCATTCAGTATATATATAAAATTTCCTTTTAATAGTGCAATCATTGAGTGAGTGAGTAATTTTTTGCAATACATGCTTCAAATATTTAATAGAATAAAATATAAGTATTTAATTTTAAAATTTAAATATATATATATATACACGTGTTTCAGATTATTATCAGAAAATTAAAAATAATATAAAAATCTATTCACAGAATAATAAATTCTCCGTAAAAACATCAAGGAAATACTCCTGTCGCCATCTGTTGGATAATTAACAGACTAATTTACAGGTAAGACACTATGGTTGGATGGTATCGCATTTGTTAAATTTTCGACATTTTTTTTTAATTAATTGAAGCTTTGATTTTTGAAAGCTATTCTTTAAATTAATTTCCTGCTTTTTTTAATTATTTATTTTCTACTATATAAACAGAATTTAATGATTATAAATCAGTATAGTTAATTACATATGTTGATAACAGATGGCATTAGCTACCAAGTAACTTTCATTTTACATAAAATATGAATTAATTAATTTAAGCTTATTTTTAAACAGAAAATAAACCATATAAATTCAATTTCGTTTATAAAATAATTGAAAGCTGTTAAAGAAATTAAAATTAGAATATTAAATAATAATAATAATAATAATAACCTTTGTTTTATAATTATTCGAAGAACGACTACAAAATAAGCAGAAAAATCATTATTATAATTGGAACAATGCACGGAAAATCGAATTCGATGAATTTTATATTCGAAACAATTGCTATTACCAGAATTCATTGTGTAAATTGTCTTTTCCTAGCATCTAAAACATTGCTCTTAGATCTGCAGGGCATAGATACCGGGCCCAAGACACGGGAGGGCCCCAAAATTATTAACTTTTCTGTTAAGTCACACATGTTTATGGTTTTCATGACGAGTGAGGACCCACATTTACACATTTCTTACCTTTCTGAGGCCCCTCTTGAGCTATTGTAGTGTTTGTATATGTTCATAATCATTATCTTTTACAATTATTATAACAAAATAATAATTTTATACGCCGTATGAAGTTCTATTATNTTATCTTATTTCTAAAATGATTTTATGACAATATTTCGTTAAGATAGACCCCCCCCAGAAAATTTTTAAAAATCTATTATTCTTATTCCATTTTGTTAAGAGTTAATAGCCTCATAAATATAAAAATGTCATGCGATAGATTTATTGTTGAGAAAATATAATAGTGGACAGTGGTCAGCTTCAATGTAAAGTATTTAGAATTGCTTGCAACCACCCCAGGGTAGAGAAAACTTAACTCTTTTAAACCGTGAACTGAAAATGAAAGTGTCCTTGAACGAATTCTTTTGTGTCGAAGTTTTTAAAGCTGTTAGAGAGAAAATTTAACCATTAACCCACGTTCTTCTAAATATAGAATCCTACCTTTCTTCACTTCGAACTACACTAAAAAATGTCGTATTTTATAAGGACAATTTCTGTGATAAAAACATCTTCCTTTCGTTAGAAATTTATTAAAACTATCAAATCATGTCACGAAAATATTCAAATTTCGAATTTAAAATCAGTTAAATTGTCAATATATATATAAATTCTTTGACAAAATACCGAAGTTACCCTAAATAAGTAAAGGAAGAACATTACACCTCGGTGGTCACGACAGGTGAACACTGGAACTTGAAGGGGGAATCGCAGGTGTACGGAAGTGCCACGACCCTTCTACTAAGTTTCCCTCGGGCATTGTTAAAGAAAGAAGGAGGACAAAAAAGGAAATACCAATGCAACATTTCCGCAGTATAACAGGGAAGAAAAAAGGGGTTCTGTAAAGAAAAGAGAACAATACAAAACCCGAAGACCCCTTCTGACACAGAAAAAATGGCTCCCTAGTACACAAACCTGAATAAACCATTTATACCAACCCCGATAATGGATACAGTGGGAATACTTTTTACAAGAACTAATTAAAACCAATTTAAATAATGTGTTTATAATGAACTGGAAACAATAATTTTACAGTAGCGCAAAAGTAAATAGCTTTAAAAAAAAAAGAAAAACATCTGCATCCCATTTACAAAATACCTTAAGAAATTTTTCTTTTATTTCTTAAAAACGAAAGAAAATTCTCAAAATTAAAAATGTTTTAACTGTTCTTTCCTACTGAGTGATAAAATAAAAACATTTTTCACGTCAAAACGAAGAGTTGAAAATTAACGTGTTTCGCGATAAGAATTTGCCTGTTCCATTTTAAACCTGATAAAAAAACACTAATATCTAATTACTTTGCCGATATAACTAATTAACATTAAATAAAATCTGTTACTTTCAATTAATTAGACTTTCAATTTATGTATTTTGTGTAATTTTCTTTTATTTTTACAACCGTAAGTTCTGCGACACTTGAGTATACTTACAGTTGCTTTCTATGAAAAAAGTGCAGGTTATACACCGTATTTCCTACGATTTTTTTATAAAAATATTGTATATCTACCTGTTATACGATATATAATATTAATATTTAAAATAACCAATATTTTTTACAAGTAATTATGCATTTTCTTCTATATAGCACACTCCTTGTTTAATTTACTACAGCCTGTACCTACACTAATGATTTAACATAAAAGTATACAAAATAATTAAAAAAAAGTGTCCATAATTAACGATTTCATCTAATTTTAATACTAAATACAGCTAAAACTTTAATTAATATACAGTTATAAAGTGAATCAAACTTACCTTTGTGTCTCTGAATACAGTACCAAATCAAAAAAATAAAAAAAAANAACTCTCCCTGAGCTATAATCCCGCTTTACTCATGGAATTTGGTAGCGTCCGTTTGATTGCAAAATATATGTCTACGAAAAAATGGCTGGAATGAAATATCTTATGTATATTGCTCGTCTATGGTAATATTAGTTATCCTACTTTAAAAAAAAAAATAAAATAAACTACAACTGGGGGGATATCTAAAAAGACTAGGATGTTATTCTTCTTCCTTGTTAAAAGTCCAGAAGACCCGCCATCCTGGCGACACTGTCCTCATTTTTCGGAAGAAACTACCGAAACATAAATAGAGTTCAACATGGACACAAATGCACAAAAATTAACCAAGATTACGGACGGCTTTCGCTCGGCTATGCAAAACAATTCTCGGAGCTCTGCCACCGTAATTCTAACTTTTGATTACAGCACAAATTAGTCACTTGACTAGGTTTCTTTTTAAAACATTGCAGCCATTTTAAGAATACTACGGGCTGGGCACTTCTTAGAAAAATATACGGCCCGTAGTATATATACTAACCTAGTACTGACGTCTGAGAATTACATATGGAAGAAAGAAAGATCACAGATGTAATGCACACTCCTTTTTTTCTTAGTCACCATTTCCAGTCAATCGTGTGCCACTCGTGCGATATGAATGAAAAATGATAACTTATCATTGAAGCGAATACCGCAGACGTTACATTTGAATGGATGATTATAATCGTGATATCCCATATGTATGGAATACATGGCACAATCTTTGAAAAGTAAATCACAATGTATGCAATTGAAGTAACTGTTAAGTTTTCCGTCATTTTTGTCGGGACCAGAATTTTGTTTCTCTTCGTTAGATCTCGTATATTGTCCATTAGTTTTGTGCGTTTGCAAATTGCTCATATTTAAATTCTCTTCTTCGTGATCGTCTTTGTTGTCTTCGTGATCAATTTTCATGTAAATCCTCTCTATTTTGAACGCCTTTCCTTTACGGCGATTGCGAGAAAATTCTTGAGATGAATCGGCTTTATTATTCTTTGGACTGGTTTTACAATTGCTGAGATCTAAAGGTAATGAAGAATCGACATTTCCGTTTGTGTGATTTTCAGAATTTTCAATATTTTCAGTAGTCGTAGGTACTGTCTTTTCTTCTTCTGAAACGAAATCTTTAGGAGAAGGTAGCGAGTTGAATGAAAGTTTATATTCTTCTGGAGAATTAGGTCTGGTTCCGTTTGGAGTTGAATAGTCCGTATTTAACTTTTCTCTATCTGCAGGTGCAGACAGATAACCATTTTTCGTATAAAGAGAGTAAAGGGGATGATTTGATTCGTACAGAAAGAGGGTTTCGGGATTGATACCATAAATTCTGCACAGATCCTCGTTTTCTCTTGTAGCATGAAATACCATGTGTCTGTTGAAAGCATCTTTGTAATCCGAAGAGAATTCGCAAAGATTGCACTTATACGGCTGAATTGAAATGGTTGGTTTAAGAAAACGTTCAACTTCAGTCGTTTGAGAGGAATCCACACCGGTTCGATTTAAACAATGTGAATTGGCTAAACCATTCATGTTATTGGTAAACGGTAAACATACCTGAGACGAAGGAATCGTTGGGAAAGAATAATATCCCACTGAAGGAACGAGTAATTCAGTATGCGAATTCGAATTCGATTGAGAAATAATTTCTCCGTTGCCATTTTCTTCTTGATTCGAACCAGATTTTTTCTTCTTTTTAGTTCCTCTTCGATTACCGTATACATCTACTGTAGATTCTGCAGGAGTACCATCCGGGTTCAAAACATTTGCAGTCGTATGTTTGTACTTTCTCAAATGAAGTTTTAAACTATGACAATACTTAGTTGCATAACTGCAACTAGCACAGTGATATTGATAAATATTGGAATGCGATTTCATGTGACTATTGAGCATTGATTTGTTGACACAAGTATAGTTGCATTTGTTACATTTGAAAGGTTTGGATCCTGCGTGATTACGTAGATGGTACTCTAAGTGATGTTTATATTCAGTGACGAAAGGACAATTAGGGCAAGTCAAGAGTTTCTCTTCTTTTATGTGCGTTCGATTATGTTGCCAGAAATCTGCTTTACTAACAGCGACGAAATCACACTGTTTGCAACGATAGTTTCTAGCTTTTTTGCTAGAATTCGAAGAAGCTAGGCCAGAATCTCCGTCTTCCGATTCTTTTTCACTACACTTCGACGAATCCAGACCAACATGAAATTCTCTAACGTGTCTTTTCAATCTACCTTCGGTTCGCGAAGTGTAATCACAAAACGAACATTTATGTTCTGCATGAGTATTTAAATGAGAATTATAGTGGAATTTAGAAGCGCTTTGAAAGCCACATTCCTCGCATTTGTAAGTGACTTCGCCGTCGGGTGTAGTATGAATATCTTGCCATCTTTGAATGTCATCTTCTAGTGATGGAGAGTTGCTGTGTAAACTATCGTGACCATTAATGACGGCATTCGACGTCGTTGATGTGGCCCATACGAATGTCGAACTCGTTCCTTCTGGGGAAGAATATGGAGAATATTTATTTGGAGTTGATGTTTCGGGTGATAAATTTAGTGCCTCCGTTCCATTACAAGGTGGATTGGCTAATTGTTGTTCTTCCATTCTTTAAATATTGCAAATCATGTAACGTTGATTCTTGACAGTTGACATAATTTTAACTATAAAGATAAAATAAAAATTATTAAACAACATTAAAATGTAAGACGAAAAAGCATATAAAGTCTCGAAATAGAAATATATCGTTAAAAATTAAGCTAAAATATATATTTAAATGAAAAATTTTACAAAATAATGTCATTACTTTTATTTAAATTATAAATATTATAAAAATATAAACAAATATTATAATACTTCTAAACATTTATACATGTCTGTAGACATATATTTTAAAATACAATATGAATATCCGTTTTACAAAATTTATATTCGCTCTACAGAAATAAATACTCATAATTTTTATATAAATATTTATAAATTAATGATAATTTAAAGTGTAGGTTAGCTAGTGATGAAACGATTAGATCTTTATAGAAAGTTATGAGTGAATAAATCCAAGAGGAAGAGGAAGATCAATGGCAAGAATGGATTTTACTTAAACTTCTGAAAAAAGAAGGTAAAAGATATAAATTACGAAAATATAGAATGATGCTATAGGCCTATAAATAAACAGTTAACAGTGAGAATTAAAGTAAATTAACAAAACTGAGTGAGAATGAACATGATTTATGGACGAAAATAAACATAAAAGTAATTTATGCAAATTAAAAAATGTAGAAAAGAACGATTAAAACATAAAAATAATTGAAAATTTTCGTTTCTAAAATTTTAAAACACAAAATGCCAGTCGATAATTTTAATATCACACAAAACCCTCGTGTAATTCGTTACGTGTAGCAAGATTTTAATATACAGTATTATAAAACATTTAATTGAAAATATGCAGTAAATTATCGATTTAAATTAAGTTTTTAATTATGTTTTCTTAATTATACTACTACATCATAATTATATATTATTAAGTAATCGCTTAATTCGGATCACTTCTCTGGTTCCACTGCATAAACAATAATGAATTACGGAAGCCAAAAGCAATTGAAATGGCATCAAACAGCGAATTAATGATAGTGAACTAAAGATGACAGTGAACTAATAAATTACCAACATATAGGTTATTAGTTCTGCATATCGTTCTTTCAGCTCGCCAATGTCTTTCTTTTTAATTTAATTTCCTGTAACGTGTTCATTGGTGCATAAAACATTAAGACATTTTTAGTAATTCAAAACAACCAGACAGTGTTTTGAATTACTAAACTATAAATATACAAAAGAATATTTAATTATTGCTTTTGATGAAGTAAATACTTTCCATCAAAACTTAATTGTAACTAAATTCACTTACGATGAATTGAGTGAGATTTATATTAAAGCATTAATGGCCAGAGAAGTAGTTTTTATTGTTTGCTTTGGTTGGTAGTCTTCTTTTAAATTGAGCAATAAATTGTGTCTTGGTTCTTTAGTGGTATATTCATCAAGAGTAGACCATAGTCATGGTGATGCGTCAACCAAAGAGGTAGAGGAATAAAAATCGTCGAGAATCGATTCCGTTTGGGTTCATCTATTCTTTCATCTCACCGGGAGAACAGAGAATCAATCCCTGTTCATCCCACTTATTCTCGCTTGAATGATGCTATTGTGTCTTCTGTCAACTAAATTTAGAATTTACAAATGAAATATTTCCATGTCGATATTTAATACAAAAATAATTACAGTTTAATCTTATTTTTCGTCATCAATCTACATGACTTTTATCCATCTCTTTATCGAAGTATGATCTATTTCCTTTAAACTCTTAAGATGTACATGTTCTGATACTTTACATTGTCTTATTTTCATGATACAGTACTAATAATATTTATATTATATTAGCAAAATATAAGTTTATTTGAAATGTACAACAGTAAACTTACTAATTAAGAATGATGTCATCAATTAGAAAATCCCAAACTTATAAACGTCGCTTATTGTTATCGTTATCTTTGAGTAAATAGATATTTTTAAGCTCTCTTTTTCAGGTTACCAGCCAAAATTCTGGCTGTTATCACTTAATCGTTATCAGTCTTTCAGCATTTTAAACGTTATTTTCTCACAATTTAATAGTTTAAATTGCTTGATTTCTTCAATTATACCCTCGCTATTATTGAAGGCATTAACAAACAATACTAGATGAATGACATATTAATTAATAAATCTTTACGTCATATATTTTTGAACCGTTTTAATATGTTCTTTTAAATAAAAAACTAGAATTTCACTAATTTAGTCTTATTCATAGTATAGGCCAAAGTGATTACATTAAGCGGATTCTAAACTGAAATATCTACATTTATTGTTGTCTGTGTTGTTTAGCTATTTAATAATAGATAAACAACACAAATGGAAATTCTTGCAATTTCTATATTGAATAATTTAATTTAATTTGTATATTAATAAGCAAAAATAAATAATTGTTTATATGACTATGAAGACATATGCTTTAATTATTCACTACAGTAATACTGTTAAATTCTATTAACATAAATTATATATTCTATGTTCCAAAAAAGGAATAAATAGGCCTTTTATTTGCTATCAAATATGTAGAAAGAAACATTCTGATAGTAAACGAATTAGTTTGTTTCTTTAAAATGAACTGCATTTAAAATGGTAGTGACAACTTTGATATAAAAAAAAAAATATATTTATTATCATTTCTATTTAATTCTTTTCAAATTATTATTGATGAAATCTCCGCTATTTCTTTCGTAAGTAAAAAGCACAAGTGTATATAATTTATCGGTACAGTTTTATCAATAAATTTTGTAAGCAAAAACACAGAACAGTTGAATTCTTAATAAATGAGAAAGCTCTTTAGAAGATGAGAAACTGTAGCAATGTTAAATAATTTATATATTTTTTGTAAGTTTTCTGTACAATAAAGTGTTAAATTTGCTATTCTTAGACACTTCCATCAGTTACTTTAGTTCTGTACATGTTCAAATCAATTTACAAATATGAAATTTCATACTTTATTTAAGTGAAATGTCAAATAAATCAACAATCTAATTACAAAGTTAATAATTTACAACGACATTATCAAATACAGTCAAACCTCTGAACAAACGCCATCGACGAGAACGTAAAGCTGTCCGTTGTTCGGAGGTTATTTTGTATGCATTTTTGTTGAAAATAAAATAAATTTCTAAAAAGAAAAATAGCCGCTGTTTAGAGGTTCGACTGTAGTTTATTAAAGTTTTTTTTTTTTTAATAAAGGTCATTCCTATTTTACTGCTATATATAAAAATTATAAAACAAATCTGTTCAACCTTCGAAAAACAAAAATAAAGAACAATTTTTCCTGCTTTCAAGTGACAGATCTTCGATAAAATTATAAATAACTGGTTTTTAACTTTAATCAGCTATAAATGGTATATCCGTCCGTTATTTTCAAGTAAACTGCTCTCATATAAAAACACTTCAATATATCACTTAACTTATAAGATTAATTATTGTAAAATTTATACGAATTATCACAAAAAAAAATTAAATATTTCCATAGTTTTGAAATATCTTGTAATGTATTGAATATATATATTTCCTTCACTCTTCAGCATTATAGAAGCGCCCAAAATTCAGTTAACCGTATTCGAATATCTTGGTAGTCTTATTAATACTGGCATATCTTGTAATACAGAATGGTAAAATACGAAATGTAAATCAAAACACGTAGCAATGCGTTAGAATGCTGTAAATTATTCACTAAACTTGAAGCATCTCTAATAGAAACTGCCACAAAACTCTTTATTCCAATACGGTTAACTGAATTTTGGAAAACTTCTATAACGCTGAAGAATGAAGAAAATATATATTCAATATATTACAAGATGTAAATATTTCACGTTTCATACTATTGGAGTTAAGACAAGTAATTAAAGACAACAATTTCACCAAACTTCTTGGTCATATCATTTATTCAATGATGTCAACAATTCATGGGCATCAATGAATAATTTATCAACTCGAAATGATGTCATAGATTCCAAGATTTATTGCATGTATCTAAATTATGATATATTATACCAAAACGTGCGACAACTTTTTCATTTGGATTTCATGAGAAAATATTATACTAAAAGTACAGTACTCGTTTCACTGTTTATAACAGAGGGAAAGTATGGCTCTCGGTCAAAGGCTGACCCTCAAGATTTTAACATTTTTGGACTCGGGGAGCTTGAAACATCGAGAAATTTTTAAAAAATTGGAGGTTTTTTTTGTATGTATAGATAGTGTGAGGTACGATTTTTTCACCCACTTTAAAGCTTAATAATTCTTGTATCTTTTGTCGAAAATTTCTGAAATTTTTCAGGGAGGTTTGTGTATTAGGAAGAAATATTTCTAGAAATTTTCAGGAAAATTCGATCATTGGTTCGGGAGATATTGCCCCATCCCATTAATATCTTCGGAACCAATCTGTAGATTTAAAAGTAATGGTGGAAGTTATCAGGAATAAAAACAAGTAAAGAATGTTGGAAAAGTCAAGCAACAATGCTACTTTTTTCATATTTAATATCACAGAATTTATTAAAATCAATTTAAAAGTTAAATTCTCATTCAGTATATATATAAAATTTCCTTTTAATAGTGCAATCATTGAGTGAGTGAGTAATTTTTTGCAATACATGCTTCAAATATTTAATAGAATAAAATATAAGTATTTAATTTTAAAATTTAAATATATATATATATACACGTGTTTCAGATTATTATCAGAAAATTAAAAATAATATAAAAATCTATTCACAGAATAATAAATTCTCCGTAAAAACATCAAGGAAATACTCCTGTCGCCATCTGTTGGATAATTAACAGACTAATTTACAGGTAAGACACTATGGTTGGATGGTATCGCATTTGTTAAATTTTCGACATTTTTTTTTAATTAATTGAAGCTTTGATTTTTGAAAGCTATTCTTTAAATTAATTTCCTGCTTTTTTTAATTATTTATTTTCTACTATATAAACAGAATTTAATGATTATAAATCAGTATAGTTAATTACATATGTTGATAACAGATGGCATTAGCTACCAAGTAACTTTCATTTTACATAAAATATGAATTAA